AGAGAGACAGAAAGCGAGAAATCACGGGAACCAGCAGTTAGCGTAATGGCTATGTTGCTGGACTCCCACGTCGACTGCGGTTCATGTCCCGGACCCAGTGGCTTAGAACTCATGCTGGGCGCGTGTGCGTGCGTGCCCAAGATCCTGGGAGGATAATGGAGGAGAAGGGATTGCGGCGTGACCATCCCCCCTGGTGGGTGATTTCTCGCTTTCTGTCTCTATGTCTCTGTCTGTGGCGAGCGCACGCGCCCTATAGCAAAAACATCTCCAAAAGAAAAAAAAAAGAAAGAGATCACCCCCCAGGGGGGATGGCCATGGCACAATCCCTTCTCCTCCATTCTCCTCTCGGGATCTTGGGCATGCACGCACATGCGCCCTGCATGAGTTTAAGCCACTGGGTCCGGGACTTGAACCACAGTCAGCTACGTGGGAGTCCAGCGGCACAGCCATTATGCCAACTGCTGGCCCCAGTGCTGAAATTTTTAAGAAAAATTTACAAGCTAACTTCCACTTAATCCATTATCCTTTATTTTATTGAAATGTATACTTAACTGACGAAAAGACTCTTCTTGGGAGTATGCTGTCATGACATTTAAAGAGATTTCCTGGGGACCAGCAGATGGCATAGTGATTTTGTCACTGGACTCCCACATGGTCTACCATGATTCGAGTCCCAGACCCAGTGACTTGAAAATCACACTGGGTACGTGTGCATGGAAGCCTAAGATCCCAGGAGGAGAATGGAGGAGGGATTGCAGTGTGGTCATCCCCCGAGAGGTGACTTCTCGCTTTCCCTCTCACTGTCTCTGTCTCTCTCCCTGGCGAGTGCATATGCCCTAAGGCAAAAATCTTTTAAAAATACAATAAAATAAAATACAGAGGTTTCCCTTCATTTCAACTAAATTACTGTTTGTTGATCTGCTCATTTCTGCGTATTTGCCATGACAGTATTTGGATCCTATTAGGTGTACCGAGCAGATAAACTTTCCATTTTAAAGAGAAAAAAGATGTATAGGGCCAGCAGGTGGCATACTCGTTGGGCATTGGACACCCACATGGCTGACCGTGGTTCGAGTCCCAGACCTAGCGGCTGGAAACTCACACCCGGCGCATGTGCCTGCTAAAATCCCAGGAGGGGACCAGCAGTTGGCATAATGGCCATGTCGCTGGACTCCCACGTAGTCGACCGCGGTTCGAGTCCTGGACCCGGTGGCTTAAGCTCACGCTGGGCATGTGTGCGTGTGTGCCCAAGACCCTGAGAGGAGAATGGAGGAGAAGGGATTGCAGCTTGGCCATTCCCCTTGGGCAGTGATTTCTCGCTCTCTGTCTCTCTGTCTCTCTGTTTTTCTGGCGAGCGCACACGCCCTATAGCAAAAACCTCTCCCCCCTCAGGAAAAAAAAAAAAAAAACCCAGGAGGAAAGTGGAGAGGGGTCACAGCGTAGCCAGCTGGGGTGAGTCTCACTTTTCCTCTCGTGATCTCTGTCTCTTGAGAAAACCCTAAGGCAAAAATCTAAAAAAAAAAAAAAAAAAAAAAAAGAAAGAAAGAAAAGAGAAAAAGCTCTGTTGGGGTCAGCAGGCACGGAGGCTAAGGCGACCGTGGTCTGAGTCCCGGGTCCAGGGGCCTAACCACACCAGGCGTGAGCATGCGTGCCTGGAATGCTGAGGAGGATGGGGGAGAAGGGACTGGGCGTGGCCATCCCCTCGGAGGTGGTTTCTCACTTCGCCCCCATGGCAAGCACATACACCCTATAACAACAACAACAAATTTTTTGAAAAAATTTGTCTGCTCTCAAAAAAAATTTTTTAGAGTTATATAATTTATTTATGTATGTATTTATTTATATATATATTTTTTGAGAGGTTTTTGCTACAGGGTGCGTGTGCTTGCCAGAAAGACACAGAGAGACAGACAGAGGGCGCGAAATCACTCCCAGGGTCCCTTCTCCATTCTCCTCTCTGGATCTTGGGCACACACGTGCACACGCCCGGCGTGAGTTTAAGCCACTGGGTCCAGGACTCGAACCGCGGTTGGCTGCATGGGAGTCCAGCGACACAGCCATTACGCCAGGCCAGCCCCCATTCATCTGTTTATTCGAGAGATGTGTTGCTGCGGGCTGCGGCTGACTACGTGGGGTTCAGTGATGCGGCACCACCCCACCTGCCGGTCCCCCAGCCACTAACTCAGACGCCCTCAGTCTGCGGGACACAGCATGTGCTTTGCCCTCGCAGCCCCCATTCCTGTCGGTGATGACAATTTGTTTCTCTGTGATTTGCCCGAGGGTACATGCACTTGCCGGAGCATGTGGGGAGAAAGAGAAACAGCGGCGGGTGCCCGAGGCAGGGCCACACTGCAGCTCCTCTCCATCGTCCTCCGTTGGGGATTTGCGCCTGCGGCCTCTTCTAAGCTCCTGGACCCTGGGCTTGAACAGTGAGATTGGCCTGTGGCTCGGCCGCCTTACTGTGAGGCTACAGGTCGGCCCCGATTTCATGTAAATTACAACAGAAAAAATGGATTCTGATACTCAAGTTTGAAATTTATGTTGGAGAGGGACCAGCAGTTAGCATAATGGCTATGTCACTGGACTCCCATGTAGTGGACTGTGGTTTGAATCCCAGACACGGTGGCTTAAACTCATGCCAGGTGCGTGTGTGTGCGGGCCCAAATCCCAAGAAGAGAATGGAGAAGGGATTGTGGTGTGGCCATCTCCCCAGGGAGTGAATTCTTGCTCTCTGTCTCTCTGTGTCTCTGTCTTTCTGGCAAGTGCACGTGCCCTATAGCAAAAACTTCTCCAAAAAAAGGAAAAAAAATAGAGAAGAAATTTATGTTGGTGAGAAATGGAATTATCATACTAAAAGCTGCCAAAATCCTGGGAAGAGAATGGACACTTCGGCCCAAGATGGTGTCAAGAAACACGAGGCCTGGGGACCAGCAGTTAGTGTAATGGCTATGTCGCTGGACTCTCAAGTAGCTGACCGCGGTTCGAGTCCCGGACCTGGTGGCTTAAACTCACACCGGCCAAGATGGAGAATGGAGGAGAAGGGACTGCGGCGTGGCCATCCCCCCTGGGGGGTAATTTCTCACCTTCTGTCTCTCTGTCTCTCTGTCTGTCTGGCGAGCGCACGCGCCCTATAGCGAAAACCTCTTAGAAGAAAGAAAAGAAGCATGACGCCTGAGAGGCCACCCTGGGGATGCAGGGACCCTACTCAGCCGGAGGAGGTGGGAGTTTTGACTATGGAGATGTTTTTTAAAGAATTATTTTATTTAATTTTATTCATTGTCATTGTTTTATTTATTTATTTATTTATTTATTTATTTATTTATTTATTTATTTATTTGAAGTTGACTAGAGAGAGAGAAGGAAAGTGAGAAAGCAAGCTGCCAGGTCTGGGATCCGAACTGTAGTCACTCATGTGGGAGTCCAGCACCTTAGCCACCACGCCACCTGCTGGCCCCAAGTCTGGACGTTTTGAGCAGTTTCTCCAGGACAGGGTTAAAGCCAGTGGGAATGCTGTTCAGAATGAACTTTTAGCTGGAATCGGCCATTTCTGAGCTGGCTCTCCAAACAGTTCGCAAAGCCTCGCTAGGAAACGCCGCGGGCAGCCTCGGGAACAGGGCCGGGGCACAGTGGGCCGGGAGGGTTTCCACGGTCCCTCAGTTGGGATGAGCCCCTGGGCGAGGGCTGGGAGAAGCCCCCGGGTAGGGCTCTGCTTCCTCCGAGAACAGAGAACAGATGGTTTCGCGCACCAGGCTCAGTGCTGAAGGGCTCGAGTTCATTGCTGAGTGAAAACCACCAACGGTCAGAAGGTTCTGGCACACAGTCCTCGTCCAGCCGACACTGCCCAGTCTGCCGCGGAGCACCGCAGTGTGAGCCGGACTCAGTGGCACCCTGCCGTGTCCTGCCGTGGTATGTCGGTAGCTGTCAGGTGACACCATGCTGGAACAGCCTAATTCTATCCCACAGGAAGCCACTAGGCGGTGCAGCACGTGGTGACAGGCAGCCTGTGTGGCTGTGGATTCTGGACACTGCGTGGGAGCGTGGAAGCACACGTTTACGAAGGAAGCATGATGGTGGCGTGACTGGGAATGCTCCAGGCAGAGTCCTCACGGACCGCGGCCGGGGACACAGAGCAAGCAGGGCCCCGAGCTGCAGAGCTGGTGTCAGTCCCCACGGTGGCTAAACAGGTGGGGCCAGCCGATGGCATGGTGAAGGCTCTGGATCCCATGTGGCCAACAGCAAGGTTCGCGTCCCAGACCCTGGGGTTTGAGAATACCAGGTGTGTGTGTCTGCGTGTGTGTGCACGTGCATGTGTGCTCAAAACCTCAAGAGGAGAATGGAAGAGAAGGGACTGTGGAGTGGCCATCACCTTGGGGGGTGACTTCTCTCTCTGTCTCTCTCCAGGGAGCTCGCATGCCCTGTAGGAAAACAGCAGGTGGTCTGCAGGTCCGGGGTGGCTGTAGTGGAAGAGGGACGATGAACCGGCGGCCAAGTCAGTTTGCATGGCCCCACTGCGTGGACAGGCCCCGCACTGTGTCAGCCCTCGGGGTCTGGGCAGTGTGGGGAGCTGGGCAGGGGTGCAGGGCAGGACCCCATCCCCCGGGACACCCACACAAGGTGGTCCCACAGACAGGAAGGAGGGTCCAAAGTCCTGGTGCTGGGACCAGCAGTTAGCGTAATGGCTGTGTCGCTAGACTCCCATGTAGTTGACCGCGGTTCGAGTCCTGGACCCGGTGGCTTAAACTCACGCCGGGCGCATGTGCATGCGGAGAGGAGAATGGAGTAGAAGGGATTGTGGCGTGGCCATCCCCCCTGGGGGGTGATTTCTCTCTTTCTGCCTCTCTCTGTCTCTCTGGCGAGCACATGCGCCCTATAGCAAAAACCTCTCAAAAAAAAAAAAAAAAGTCCTGGGACTGAAGGAAGGCTCTCTGGGAACCCCACCCCCAGCCTCGAGCCCCGCACCCCACGGCCTGCAGGACTTGCCAGGCAGTGTGGGCACTCACCTGTCTACACCTGGGGCTGTCGATCATGCCATGTATGGTGGGGGTGAGGGTGGGTGTCTGGGCATGCGGAGGGACGTGGCCTCGGGGGAGGCCGAGGACGCGGAGCAGCAGGGCATGCTCGCTCAGCTGTCCAGGCTGAGGTGGGGCTTTGGGCAGGGAACAGGGCCGGGATTGTCAGGTGACCTAGGAAGAGGGCAGGAACTGACCCGTGACCTGTGTGACCTCCCTGCGAGCCAGATCATAGCAACCAGGTGGTTAACCCCTCTCCCCTACGAGGCTGGCCGGCATGCTGAGACCCCTGTCACGCCTCCCTCCGCCCGGCCTCCCTGCTAGACCGTCCTGCTGCGGGCACGTCCAGGTGCCAGACTAGCTGGGAAAGGGCAGCAGGCCGGGTCAGGGGGTCGAGGAAGCAAGGAGCCGGGCCCCAGGGCACGGGGCGACCTGCACTCCGTGGGAGGCTGAGGACTGGGGTTTCCTTAGGCCCCTGCTTGTCACCACCTTAGAGGTGACACCTTTTCTTGGGGGTGGGGCTCGCTTCCGTTTCACGTTTTAGCACAGAGCGCATACACTTGCTGGACAGAGACGGAGGAGACCACGGTCCTTTCCTGACATCCTCCTCCTGGGATTCTGGGCACACGTGCGCACACACCCAGCATGATTTTCAAGCACCGGGTCCAGGACTCTAGAGGCAGTTGGCCACGTGGGAGTCCAGCGCCTTAACCACCATGCCACCTGCTGGCCCAGGTGGGAGCCTCAACTGGAGACCCGAGTCCCCTCTGCACAGGTGGCTGCTTAGTCATGCCCAGCGCCCCGACAGCGCCGGGCACAGCTCAGAACTGCCTCTGGCCAGCCGATGGCATGGTGGGCAACACAGCTGATCCCATACGGCCAAACACGCAGTTCAAGTCCTGGTCTCGGCAGCTCGGGAAACACACTGGGTACGTGTGTACCCAAAACCCCCAAAGGAGGACAAGACAAGAGGAGAGGAGACTGCGATGTGACCGTCCCCTGGGGGTGCTTCCCACGTCCCCCTCTCCGGCGAGCGCAATTGCAGAACAGAGAACTGTCTGGGGAGAAAGGCGGATTCCTCGCCCCTCTCCCGATCAGAGGTCTGCCGGGCCCCTTCTGACCTGTGCATGGACCAGGCCTGAGTGGATCCAGGCTCTGGTCTACATGGCAGCTCTGGACAGAGGAATGGCACAGGGGCCTGGGTGACACTGACACCGAGCTGGGGCTGGGTGACAGTGGGTGGTGGAGCCACTACAGGCCCTCCCTCCTGGGGCACCTTGCCCTTCTGTGTGAAGGGGGACCGGCCACGGGGTGCAGAGCGGGGCCACCCTAATCCTCCCCAGGAAGGCAGGGCTGTCACAGAAAGAGCCGAGGGACCTCGTGTGGCCAGAGCGGAGTATTGTGAGCCCGGGCAGGTGGGGGGTCCCTTGGAAGAAGGGGCCTTGGGACGTGAGGCCGGTGTACCAGGACGGAGTGGTCAGCCATTTTGAAATGAAGAGACGGCCTCTGACAAGAGCACCTGACGCGGAGCTGAGCTGCGGAGGGCGGCGAGGGAGTCGGGGAGCAGCCGGCAAGGGTGTGTGAAGGACTGGGTCCTTGCCCAGGGGAGAGGACCACAGCAGGGCCACAGCAGGGAGTGCCTTGTGCGCCCGCGGCCCCGAGTGTGCCGAGCACCTGGGACAGGTACAGAGCGACTCCCTTCTCCAGCCTCTGCCCTCGCCCCACTGGCCACAGAAAGGAGAGGCTGGACCCAATCAGCCGCCAAGGGCCTAGCAGGGCCTCGGTGACTGAGAAGAGTGGTGACCTGTGGTTGACGGGCCTGGCCAGGGGGACGCCGGGGTCCTCACATGTGGCTGCCATGGGCCACTCCCACGCAGGTGCCCATGGCACCCTCGGAGTGCCATGGGCCCCAGCCCTCGCCAAGCTGCCTTGTCCCCCTGCTCCTGGGCGCTGGGACCTCAGCCCGCAGGCTCCCTGCAGGGAGGGTTCGAGGGCCCGTGGGCCGAGACCTCCCAGTCTCAGGCTCGCACTCTGTCCTGCAAGGCCATCTCTGTAGGAGGACACTGGCCATGTGTCTGCCCATCACTGCCCTGGGCAGCGCCTGGCACTCGGGTGTGGGCCGTCGGCTCCGGCTTGTTTTGGGCCTGTCCTCCCACGTCTCGGCTCTGGGGACTGCCAGGACGGATGTGGGAACCACTGCAGGGGGGCCTCAGTGCGCTCCAACCCCTCCACAGAGCGGGTCCACTGCCAGCCCAGCTCTCGGCTGGCCCTGAGGCCCATCCTGGAGCCTGGCTCTTGACCGGGGCAGGCATGTCCCAAGAGAAGGCAGAGCCGGCCGGGCCTCGGGGCAGGAGGATGCAGGTGAGCAGGTGGGCTCCAGACCAGCGGGTCCCCCGGGGAGGGCGCGCCCGTGGCTGCCTGAGTCGGCCTGCCTGGCACATGCCCAGCACCTCGGCCAGCACTCCCGGACCTCACAGCACCGAGAGGCTGGCCTGGCTCCGGCACGACGGGCACGGAGCTGTGTGCGGTCACAAGTCTGCAGTGCCACCCGCCTCTGTCCGGGGACAGCGGGGGCCACAGCGGGGCACACCAGGACTTGGGCCAACACAGCAGCTGCTGCCCAGCCTCGGAGAGCCCCTAGGCCCCAGCCAGCGCCCTCGGCCGGCCTGCTGGGGTCTCTCTGGCCACCCGCCTGGGAGGGGCTTGCTCTCTGCAGAGGGCTCAGGTGGTCAGTGGCAGGACGGCCCCCCATGTGCTGCAGCCCTGTCCCCTGTGCCAGGACTCGGGGAGTACTCCCAGGGCCCATGAGCCTTGGCCAGGGTCAGGACAACATACTGGAAGAGGTAGGGGTCACGCTGCCTGTGGGAGGGGTGCAGCAGCTGCTTGGAAGTTCTCTGAGAGACACAGAGACACACGACGGGGTTCCTGTCGCCGCCCACCCACAGCCTCAGCCAGCACAGAGCGTGGGCGTGGCCTGCCCCCCATGGGCACAGCCGAGCCTCTGTCCCCGGTGCACTCCTGGTGCCCCGAGATTCCTTGAACTTGGTTGTCGACTGCGGTAAACCCTGACGTAGGTCCACGGTTTTAGCCGTTCTAAATGCACAGGTCCTACATCCCCTCGGGGCTGACCTGGGCGTGGATCTGGCGAGTCGCGGTGTCTCACGTAGGCGACCCGCACAGCACCTGTCCTCCCTTCGTTACTTGGCGTGCTGTGACCAGGTCAATCTGTGTCCCACCTGTCGGCACCTGTGCCCATGCACGGCTGAGAAACCCCTGCCACGTGGCGACACCACTGGGAGTTTACCCGTCACCTGTTTAAGACACTTGGGCTCTTCCTTTGTAAAGTTTTGCTATCGGGCGTGTGCATTCACCCGAGAGAGGCAGAGAGAGAGGGAGAGTGAGAGATCACCCCCAGGGGGAGGCCACGCTGCACGTCCTTCTCCTCCATCCTCCTCTTGGGATCTTGGACATACACACACACACACACACGCCTGGTGTGATTCAAGCCACCGGGTCTAAGACTCAAACTTAGCAGGTGGCCATGTGGGATTCAAAGCCTTAACCTCCATGTCACCTGCTGGTCCTGAATTGTTTCCTTTTAAAGTCATCAGTAAATGAGACCAGCAGATGGCATAATGGGCTCGTCACTGGACTCCTATGTAGTGGGCCGCAGTTCTAGTCCCGGACCCAGCGCTCACAACTCACACTGGCTGCATGTACATGCGTGCTCAGGACCCTGAGAGGAGAATGGAGGAGAAAGGGCTGTGGCATGGCCATCCCTCCGGGGTGATTTCTCACTGTTTCTCGAGCAAGCATGCGCGCCCTATAGCAAAAATCTCTCTTAGAAACAAAGTCATCCATACATTTCAAGGACAAGTCGCGATGCCCTTCCTTGTCAGGGGCGCAGCTCACACCTGCATGACGGGGACACTCGCTGCTGCCCTGGCCCTTCCTCTCTCGTAGGGGTCTGGCCACGGCTGCTCTCCCCAGAGTCCCATCGTACTTCACCGAGGAGCAGCAGGTGTACGAGGACGCCGAGAGGACACCGAGTGCCAGGGTGTCAGGCAGAGCGGCTTCGGACTGGAGCCAGCACGCTGTCCCGAGGCGGCTTGCCCTGTGTAGGCGGCCCGCCCACACTGGCCTTGGTGTCCCTCTGTAGGACTGTGTTAGATTGGAGGGTGCATCTCCGAGCTGGCTGGGTTCCTGCTTCCGCCCTGCAAGCCTGCTTAGGGCGGACTTCCCCTAAGGGTCTGTCCCTATCTTGCTAATACTCGTTTGTGAGTAGGTGTTACAAGCATTTAATGTAGCGAAACCTTAAAACAGCACACCAGGGGCTGGCGGGTGGCATGGTAGTTAAGGCACTGGACTCCCAACGTGGCTGACTGCAGTTCGAGGCCTGAACCTGGTGTTTTCTCACTTTCCCTCTCTCTTGCCATTTCTTTCTAGTTAATAATAATAATAATAATAATAAAATTAATTAAATAATTCTTAGAACAAAACCAAACAGCACATCAGGGTATCCCAGTGTGACTGTATCCCTTCTCCCCAGAAAGCTGCCCCCAGGGGGTCAGAGCCCAGGCAGCAGGCAGGGGCCCCTTCCCTGTGCTGTCGGGAGGCCCTGCGCTTTTCTGCAAGGCAACATTGTGTCTTAGGGACAGTCTCCTAAGATGCCTAGTTGCTGAGTCTCCGCTACACTGTATCCCTGCAGCTCCTGGCTCACTGGGATTCCAGAGGCCCCTGGGTGTGTGTAGTCTGCACCCCGACCCCCTGCAGCAGCCACATCCAGCTGGACCAGCGGGCAGGGCAGAGAAGTGAAGTGCTAGATCTGCCTGCGAAGTCTGCATTTCTGGCTTTCCGTTCTAAGTCCGAGGGTCTGGGTTTGTGTTAGGGCACACATCAGTTTAACGGTGACAAAGGCTCTCCGGATCCCCAAGCTCCCTCGCCCTACTCACACGCTTGGCTGCTAGGTTTGGGACCCCTGGAATGAGTCCAGCTCTGAGGACTGGGTTCCACCCCCGTAGGGGCAGACCCCGCTTTCCTCCTTTCTCTGCGCCTGAGGGGCAGAGGGTGCAGGTGAGGGAGGGGCCTGGACTCTCCTTGCAAGGACAGAGGGCCCAGAGGCGCCCGGCTGCAGGTGGTGGAGTAGGGCAAAGTCCTGGTGCCTGGGAGCAGCCCTCAAACGCACTTGGGACCCCGCGGGGGCAGCTGGTCAAGTAGTCCATGTCCTCCCACCGGAGCGACCAGGCCTGGGGCAACGCGCGTCTCCTCACCCACAGTCCCCAGGGGGCGCTGTGTCCCCGGGTCTCGGAGAGCAAAGCGAAAGTCGCTCCGGACACGCGGGGCGCAGTTGCGCGTGGGGTGCTGCCAGGGAAGCCCGGCCGCGGGGAGCCCCCAGCGCGCCTGGGGCAGCACCGCGCGCGCCCCGGCACGCGAGGAGCCAGCGCCCACGCTGTCGGAGGCGTCTTCTCGGAAGCGCGCCGGCTGGGGCGCCCGGTCCGGCGCGGCGAGGGCCGCGTGGG